AAAAAAAAAAAAAAAAGTGGGAAGACACGAAACGGATACCAGGGAAGTGGTATACAAAAATGGGAAGGGGTCCTTAAAAAGGCTACCAGGAGACCGCAAAGGTGGCTTAAAGTGTGTCCAAAAAAAATGTCATTTATTCGGGTGATAGAAGGAATCACACGTGGAAAACGATAAGGACAGGGGGTTGCGTGCCCCTCGTTCAGGTTGCACTGTTCTCATCCTGGGTGAGCCCCTACTCTACGTGATTGCTCTCTGCTTTACCCCTTCGTGTACTTCCATATATTAATGACGCAATCGTCACCGGCGGTGGCCAGCAAAAAATAGTCCTGGTACTTTTGTGGGCACCACACAACACAATTGACGTCACTCAAATGCGCATTTTCGATATTCTCAATCAAATTCCACGTGTCCGAATTTTTCTGAAATATTTTCAAAGAGTTGTCAAAGGAAGACGCTGCAATTAAATCTTCATAAGCATTCCAGTCCAGGTAGCTAATGCTTCTCTTGTGGTATCCTTCTATCACATGTTTTATTTTCCAGTCATCGAAAGATATATTATTTAAATCTTTCTCCTTGTCACTCAGATTTGGAATTATGTCCATAGAGGAGACTTTGTAATCTGAAACTGGGTTACTGGTTTGTTGTTCGTCTTGCGTGGTGGTGTATCCACTCGGTTTGTTAGTCTTTTCCTCGTTGCTCAATTTTGATACATCGTTCCCCTCATCTTTGTGCTCCATATCTTCACCGTGTGTGTTGGTTTGATCTATGCCATCTTTGGACACCTTGGAAGTGCACTCGTCGTCTTTCGCTTCATTCTTGGGTTCGTTTTCTGGTTCGTTTTCCGGTTCGTTTTTCTCCAAGGATTGCCCTTTTGAGAATTCCTTTTCTTGGTCGCCTCCTTGTTCCTCTCTCTTTTCAGCCAAAGCCCCACGATGTGCACACACTCCTCCTGTCCCCCCTTCCACCTCTGAGTACTTGTAAACAAATTTGAAAAGGCCATGGTCGAAATAAAGTGGGACGAAATTATTCTGCACGACTGCCTTCAAGGCCGTCCTCACCTCATTCTCGTCCTTTGAATAATCTAATAGAGAGAAATTGGATGGACCATCGGAGGTTTTACCACCCCCCTGGTGCATCATCGGTTTTCTTATCTTGCGAAACAGTTTGGCTGTTTTATCAAGAAAATTTCGTTCGTTGGACCCTTTCCCATGTGCACTACTCTTACTGTAATGGTTACTGAACCCGCGGCTATCATTCGCCAATGCCTTTTTCACTGGACTGGCACTATCCCCTACTGTGTAATTAGACTTATTCGTAAGCGAGTATAAGGAGCCTTCATTTGATAATTTCCTTGCGTCCTTTACTATATGCTCGTAAAGAAATGGGTACTTGTTTTTGTTGTACCAAACCTTCTTTTCACTCTTCCATATTCTTATGGATTTGTCATCTGAACAGGTAGCGAATTCAGAGCCATCAAAATTGAAGGCAACACACCATACCACAGATGTGTGTTCATTTAAAGTCTGTATGCAACTCCATTCGTTTATCTGCTTATTCCAAATTTTTAAAGAGTTATCATATGAAAGTGAGATGAATGTGTTTTCGCTAAGGGGGCACCAGGAGACGAATTTTATGTCTTCGGAATGCGCCGTTAGGTAAGCATCAAAGTTGAAGTCGAAGTCGACATCGAAGTGGTTATTGGCTTTTTGGGGTTCTGTGTTCGGTTGAATTTCCCCCGAATCACCATATTGTGTATCCGTGTGCGCGGCATTTTGTGTGTCCTCTTTTACTTGTTCCTCATTTTGCACCTCGTTTACATCATCTTCACCCCCGTGTGCCCCGCTTCCACCCTGCTCGTCGTTCTTATGACTCACATCATCTGTCTTGGCGTGTATCCATATGCTTTTGTCCCTTCCGCAGGTTACTATATACTTGTTGGTGGGGTGAATTGAGGCACACTTCACCTCCTTTTCGTGCCCCTCCAAAGATTTGTAAAAAACCCATTTGTCATTATTATTTTTTTTATAAATGGAACATTTCGAATCAAACGATGCAACAACAAAGAAGCTTCCATCTCGAGCAAATTCAATGTGGCGCAAGGACTTTTCGTGATTAGTTTCTATAATATCATATATATCAAATTTTATGCTGCCTGATTTGTGTGACCCTTCTCCAAACATTTTAAATTTCTTCCATACTTTACTCGTTTCACTTGACTTTTTTATTTTGTCTTTATTTGTTTTAACCCATATGGTTATATATTTGTCTGCTCCTACAGACGCGAGGAAATTTCCATCAGGGCTCCAACAGATGCTCCAAATTCTTCTCTTGTGATTTTCCAGGTTTACCACAAACTCGATTGTCATTTTGGCGGCTCTTTACGCTTCTCTATGTTTGGTGTAGTTATTGTATAACCGCTGGTGCGCACGTGGTTGCTTCTGTTCAGCTTATGCGATACGTATATTTGGATGCTTTACTATGCAGGATGGCACACCATTCGATTGACAAAGGAAACGGCTTCTTCCTTGTGACACTCTGGTGTGCGTCCTCCAGTGGAGATTATCAGCTAGCAATCCAAGGTGGGAACCCCCCCAAAAAATTAAAGTGCTATTAAAAAGGATGCTTAAAAGATGCGCACTGAAAAAGAAGAATACAAAGGGGGGGAAATTTGGGGGGGGTAGTTCCTCCCTGAGGTGTTCACTTTGTCACACTTGTTCCAAATTCAAAATAACATTCAAGCGAGCGAAATTGTTTGAAGTTTTTCCCACTTGGGGAGGTCGCCCGAACAGGTCAGCATACAGACATGCACATGTATACCCTTTCAAGTGGGCCAAATATTTCGGTGAAACATTCAATCATTCCTCGCATTGGTGAACAGGTTGCAATCCAATGTGTATGTGTTAAAATATGCTCCTTTGAAGGAGCAAAGGCAGCGACGTGTTACTAATTGTATGAGGGCATATAAAAACACACACACAATTATAGGGTTGCTGAGACATGGCAGTGCCACTAACCATATTATCAGCTGCACATTTATGTTGCCTCTTCAAAAGTGTAGCTATTGTAAAAGGGTGCGCGTTTAAATAAAAATGTGTCAATTGGTTGTGTCCTACGTGGTTGTCTACGGCTACACATGTGTGAGTTGGATTTGAAACTACCAATGTTTTTAGTGCTTCCGATGGGCCGCTGTCACTGGTGCTTCCATTGCTGCCGCCATAGTGCAGCTGCATTCGTTACGCTGATGTAACTGTGCGTCTCTTTCAAGTGTGCGTGGTTTCCATTAATGAAAAAACTTCCATTCTGGGGAATCGACGGACGAAGTAGTATTCATGCGCACATGTAAATAAAGATACACAAATTGGTTTACAATAAAACGGGAGATTTTCACTCCATATGTTTATGATATGATATGATATGATTTAATTTTTTTTTTTTTTTTTTTTTTTAAATAGCAAAATGTTGGAGATTAAACGGGATTCGTGAGCTAATTAGTAACGGGAGTACAGATTGCCCAAAAAAAAAAAAAAAAAAAAATATCAACTCTTTGCACTTGATGCGTTCATTAACATTCGCAACTCTTAACAAAATTGAAAAATGATTTTTGCACATTTTTTTAAAAAGTCCACGATATGTTTATATGAATTAAAAATTGGGGGGAGAAACTAAAACGGAACGCTGAAAAATAAATGTGCGTATTCCATGGTATACGCATGTAACTTTTCCAACACAGTGATTTGCTCATGTACATATTTTTTTTTTTTTTTTT